ATTGAGGATGGAGCAAGTTTGTTTTCTGCTGCTCCAGGGAATAGGACACAGAATAATGGATGCAAGCTACAGGAAAAGGAATTCCACCTCAACATTAGGAGGAACTTCCTGACAGTAAGAGCTGTTCAGCAGTGGAACACACTCACTTGGAGAGTGATGGAGTCTCCTTCCTTGGAGATTTTTAAACAGAGGCTGGATGGCCATCTGTCGGTGATGCTTTGATTGTGAGTTCCTGCATGGTGGAGGTTGGACTGGATGCCCTTGGGGTCTCTTTCAACTTTATGATTCTATGATTCTAAGATCACACAGCAGATTTCTATGGCCGAGTGGAGAATCGAACTTGACCTCCAGAGTCATAGTCCAATGTTCAAACCACTATACCACTCTGGCTGTCCATGATCTTAGGTCGGCCAGCAAAGATCTCTACTGAACCATGCTGCATTCATCTTCAAACTGCATTTGGCTTTAGGTCTATAAGAAAAGCACAATAAAGAAATTATTTGAGTCATTGAGGAAATATATTAAGCAAAATATATTAAGCACACACACACACAATCTCTGTCTGATAAGTACAATTCTAACATTGTTTCTGATGGAAAAAGTTTAATAGCATTCTAGAGCTATCAGCTCTGTGCTGGATACAGGGCATGTTGAAATTTAAAAATTACCAGCTGAGTTTTCAAAGAGAAGGTGTGTGGTTGAGATCAGGCCATCAGGAACAAAATAATTGTGGAGAGTACAGAAGGTGAAAACTCAATTTCTGGGGGCAGGGAGATTTATCCCCCTCCCCATTATAGAAATTACAGTATCATTTGCATTTGCATTGTTATTGCAAGAATGTCATGTTAAACATATGTTCTCAAAGTCTTGTGGAGTATTATGGAGCTAACTTTCCAGAAAGCATTTTAAGACTATTACAGCCTTATTTTAATTTCTAGTTTTTCTACCAGAAATTTCTCTCCCCCCCCCCCCCAAGTAGCTGTAGGGGTTCAACAAAGGTAGGGGGCAGCAACATTTGAGTGGGTTTCATATGTACATCACCCACTCGGATGTTGCTTGGCTTATTTTCTTTATAGGGTTGTTTGGTATAAATAAATAAATAAATAAATAAATAGGTCTGCCTATGGATGACACCACAAGCTAACTGAAGATGGAACATGCTAACCAATGAGAAGAGAAAAGTTCTAGTTGTAGAACATTTTTTAAATGTTTAAAAACAACATTGTTGTTGTTGTGTACCTTCTAGTCATTCCTGACTTATGGTGACCCCAAGGTGAACCTATCACCGGGTTTTCTGAGGCTGAGAATATGTGACTTGCCCAGAGTCACCCAGTGGGTTTCCATGGCTGAATGGGGATTTGAACCGTGGTCTCCAGAGTCATGGTCCAACATTCAAACCACTACGCTAAACTACAGCAGTTTTAATACAGGCTTTTGTATAGTTATTTACTTGAAACAGAATATTAAATATACCGTAGTTGTGTTAATTGACTTTTATTTATTTAACATGTAGCAGCATTGTTTAAAAATATAACCTTGATTAAATACAGCTCTTCCAAGCTGTATCACTGACAGCACAAGAAAAACAAAAACTATTTAAAGAAAAAGATACAAAAGCAATTCTCTAAATTAGATTTGGATGACTTTGACTGTTTTGCTTAATTTACCAAAAAGTCATCAGGTGAGACTATGTTGAGTCTCTACCTGTCGTGCCTGGATTAGAAACAATATCCTGAATGTGAAAGTATTTTTGTTCCATTTCCCCTTGTCTGCTTGATTGGGAAGCATTAATAGCAAGAGTCAATTTAATGCCTTGGGTTTATTTACGCATTTTCCTTACCAGTTAGTTTCTGCATTTCATGTAAGCCCTTGAAGAATTTTGAAACTCAGGCTTCCTATTGAGGAAAGAACAACAGAACTATCAGGCACCCTCTTCTCCTGAGACTGATTTTTCTAGTCCAAATGAAAGACTGAGTAGCTAACATCTAATAAGTATCTGGCAAAGGAAGAATGAGCTTTTGACAACTAGGAAGACTGAGATTTGTCCCGTCTCCCCCACTGCCGCCCCAGATTGGAAGCGAGCATATGGAAACACCATGATCATTGTTATGACTGCTGTAATGTTCAGTCATATACAATACTGTTTGTATTGCCAACATTGCATCAAAAACATAGCAGATGCAACCAGTATGGTTAATTATTCTAAAGTTTGAAAGTGTTACTTTTGAGGCTACAACTCCCATCTGCAGAGTCCCGTCCATCGGAGCTGTTTAGGGTGGTAGGGGAGCTGTCACAGGTTTCTCCGGCACAGAACCCACTACTTAACCTGACAACAGCCTGCTGTGATGCATTTAACAACTTCTTTGCAGATAAAATCTTTCAGATAAGAGCCAACCTGTATGCCAGTATTATAACAGAATTAAGTGACAAGGCATCCAGCAACTCTGTTAATGAAATTGTACTGGATCAGTTTCAATCTGTGAGTACCGATGACATGGGCAGGCTCCTTGGTAGAGTGAGGAAAGCAACCTGTCCTCTTGATCCTTGCCCATCATGGCTGGATGTCTGGGGGGGGGGGAATGCATTGAGGATGTTCCTTAGGTCCATCGCCAGTGCAATCTTCAGGGAAGGCTATATTCCACCTTGTCTGAAGGAAGCGGTGGTTAGGCCGCTTCTGAAAAAGCCTTCCCTAGACTCCCTGGATATGAATAGCTACAGGCCAGTCTCATTGCTACCTTTTTTAAGCAAGATGATCAAGAGGGCAGTTGCTCTTTAACTCCAATCTGTCTTGGAGGAAACCAATTATCTAGATCCATTTTCAAACTGGCTTTAGGACAGGATTTGGAGTGGAGACTGCCATGGTTGCCTTGGCTGATGACCTCCATCTTAGCATCGACAGGAGTGTGTGGCCCTGTTGGTGCTATTGGACCTCTCAGCGGCTTTCGATAAATAAATCATACCATCCTTTTGGATCACCTGGGAAGGTTAGGAATTGGAGGCACTGCATTGCAGTGGTTCTGTTCCTTCCTCTCGGGCAGATCTCAGAGGGTGATGCTCAGGGACAGTTGTTCTACAAGAAAAGAGCTTAATTGTGGTGTCCCTCAAGTTTCCATCCTGTCCCCAATGCTATTTAATATATACATGAAGCCACTGGGAGAGATCATTCGGAGACATGGGTGCGGTGTTATCAGTACGCTGATGACACCCAGATATATTTTTCCATGTCATGGTCATTAGCTTTGACTTCTGATGGTGTCTCTCCTCTCAATGACTGTCTTAGGGCAGTAAGGAACTGGATGAGGAAAAACAGATTGAGACTAAATCCAGAAAAAATGGAGGTGCTTGCAGTAACGGCCTGAAACTAGGTATTGGGATACAACCTCCAGTCCTGGCCGGGGTCACACTCTCTGCTAAGGACTGTGTTCTCAGTCTGGGGGTGGTCCTGGACCCATCAATCCAGATGATTAATTAGGTAAATGTGATGGTCAGGAGTGCCTGCTTTCAGCTTCATCTGATATGCCAGCTGCGCCCTTTTCTGGAAATTAGGGATTTTGAAACTGTGGTGCACGTGCTGGTAACCTCCCGTCTTGATTTCTGTAATGTGCTCTACATGAGGCTACCCTCATGCTTGGTCTGGAAACTTCAATTAGTACAGAACATAGCAGCCAGATTGGTCTCGGGAACATCAAGGAGAGACCACATAACACCTGTCCGGAAGTCTCTTCACTGGCTGCCTATTAGTTTCCAGGCTCAGTACAAGGTGTTGGTTATCACCTTTAAAGCCCTGGATGGGTTGGGTCCAACCTATCTTCGGGACTGCCTCCTTCTATACAATCCACCCTGCACACTCAGGTCCTCTGGGAGGAATTTGCTACAGCCTATGAAAACTAGGCTGTTTGCTACCTCCCAGAGGGCCTTCTTGGCTACCGCTCCCAGACTATGGAATGGCCTGCCGGATGAGATCCGTCAAATTACTACTTTGAGTAGTTTCAAGAAAGTGGTTAAGACGGATCTCTTCTGGCAGGCCTTTCCTGACTAGATCTCTTGGTCTAAGAGGAGGAGACTATGCAGATGGGCGGCTGTGGGCCACCCCAGGAAGTGGCGCCACGGGACTGAGGCATCCCCATGCCTTGGTCCCGCGGCGCAGCTTTGCCACCCCTGAAAGGAGTGCTAAATTGGTGCTCCTTTCACAAGTCGATGAAGGTACGCTGCAAAAGGCTGTGGCGCACCTTCGCCAGCTCTTCCGCTGCAGCGCATGCAAATGCTGCAGCGGGAGGTCCTCCTCGGAGTGCCAGCCATGCGGAGGGCCAGTTGCTCCGAGGACGACCTGGGGAAGGGGTTGGGGCGCCAATCGTGCGGCTGCCCCTCCCCTCCCCTGCCCCCAAAATGGCTCTTTAAGCCGTCTGTTTAGGGGGTTAGTCTCCCCCCTCCCTCCCTATTCTTTTTGTAACGAGGGTTGGTCCCTCTTAATGTATTTATTTTAAATGTGCTTTTAACCTGCAATCTTTTAAAATATATTTTTAGGGGTGGGTGGGTTTGGGGGCTGGTTGGGATGGGACGGGGATTGTATTTATGTAAATTTTAATTGTTGTAAGCCACCCCAATTGCTCTGCAGAGGGGTGGGGTAAAAATAAATTCTATTATTGTTGTTGTTGTTGTTGTTGTTATGTATTCTTATCATAAAACCATGAGGAAAGAATATAAGTCGCATAAATTGTGGCAAAGGCAAACATTGAGTTGTTAGGTTAGCAATGACAAAAGACTAAAGAAGGTAAACTCAATTTTATAGAAAAATACAACAACAACTCAGGTGGGACCACTGCAGTCAGGGACCATAAAGGTCTGAAGATTCTAGCAAGTTGGCATACAAGTTGGTCCCCCTCAGAACTCAGAGAAAATCATTGTTCCACTATTGACAAGTGTTTGAGAAAAATCAAAGATAGCACTGGTGTCTCCAGAAAATTATGTGATCCAACAACAACAACGAGTCTACAGAAACACACAGACAAAGACATGGTTTCTTTACACCATCTTGTGAACCATCATGAGTTTCTTGGAAGCCCAAGAATATGCTTGATAGCAATAGTATATTTCCATGTTGTCATTCTCTCTTAATGGAATCCAGAGAAATACTGTTTCCAAACCTAGAGGTTTTATTTGCTGACTTGGCTGATATGAATACTACCATAGACTGGTAATCTTTCTAAACAGGATAAGCCAATGGATTGGATCCAGAGGATAATAACTTACTAAAGTTCCATTGAATTTAATAGTATGCTGATTTTGATTTCACACTGATTTCAATAGTATACTCATACTGGATCCAAACCAATATGTACCTGGCTGCTATTCTGTAGTGCCCCTGGAACATCTCATGCAACCCAGAAGGA